TGTAATTTCTTTAAGTGGTCTTCAGGAATAGTCCTCCAGGCTTCTTTAATTGGCATTCAGAGCTCTTCTTCTTCTTCTTCATCTGTGGATGTTGTCTGCTTATTTGTTCTATTCTCTGTCGAGATGATCCCACACTGCTTAAGTAATGTTGAGGTTTAGGCTCTGGGGAGGCCAATCCATGACAGATAGTCTTTCATTGTGTGTTTTTATATCCAGGTATGATTTTACTGCATTACTGTGTTTGCATTCATTGTCATGCTGAAAAATGAAGCTGTTGCCAATCAGATGCTTTCCAGGTGGTACACACTCATTGTTGTACCTCTCTCCCGGACTTCTCCACATACATTGATGATTTGAACCAAAATTTTAAATTTGGATTTATCACTTTATAATTCTTATAAAGTGATGAATTACAAATTAAAAGAAAGTTTGGCTGCTTAAGACTTTTACACAATGTTGTATGTCATGTTTTTGTTACATTTTTGATGTTTAGTTGTTCAAAAAAGTCAATAAACTTAAGCTACTTTAAGCTAAATATAACCAATCACCAAGCAGCAGTACGGTTTTATATTACATATTTCTTTTGATGTTTGCTGTGAGTCACCAAAGTTAAGTTGAAGCAATCGATAAAGCCAAACTTGTATGTTCACTCTTGTCTCAGACTGTATTTCTTATCGTATCCTATACACGCCAACCCTTTGAGCCACTAACAGAGTGCAGCCTCTGGCTTCCTGATCTTTAAAAAGAGATCATAAGTCCTTCACTATGACATGTCTTCGCTGTATTTCAGAATAAATGGCAAAGAAAGAAAAACAATGTATTTATAGCACAAAGTTTCCTAACAATTGTCTAATTTCCTCAAGCACTTTGGGTGCTCATCAAAAGGGGCAGACTCACTGCCTGTCAAAAATAATAAATAATAAATTCTTGTCATATGGAGTCATTTGCATGTGAAAAGCCCCTTGTTGGTCACCAAAATGTTTCTCAAACACGTCCCTCTTACTCTCAATTTCTGTGAGATCATGCCCTAATGATGACCCTAGGCACACTTTTAATCACTATTTGCATTGCCCTTTTAAAAATTATTCCACTCCTCTGCACAATTTTAACCATAGAAACAGGAGAAGGATTCTTGTGATTAATTCCCTTATAGACGCAATCTTTTAGGGCCACGTCAGTTTTCTCTTTGACATTTGAGGCATTCAAAATAAGTAATGTGAAATTTTCACATGTGCTTATGGTGCATCATGTAAAGCAAGTTTCCTTTCTACAGCAATTTTTCTCGAGATTGATGAAACCAAAGTTGAGGTTTTACATGCAAGCCACTTTAAAAAAAAATGTCACTCACTCCCGCTCTTATAGATCTACATGAACTCTATGGTGAAAGAGACAGCAAAGCGAATTCAGAAAAAAATTTTTGACAATAGATACAGAATTTTTTTTCTTTTTTGACAGAATTGCACTAACACTTACTCTTAGCAACACCTTTTCCAGTTTCACTCGCCTATAAAATCCAACAGGTCACCAATGACTCGTCAAGGTTTAGGGTTACAGTTGGGTATTGTTTTAAAAGGCAGGTTTTTCTATATTAGAGGATGTTAAAATAAAAAGATGTCATAGATTTTGCCATTACAGTTTCTCTGTAAAAACGCACACAGACCCCAAACCTTGCCCTTAACACTGAATGGATTCCCAATAACCTGGTGGATGTTAAGGCATTATGTACATGCATAGGAGGCAGTTTCAGATAAACAGTATATAATACAGTTCAGTGTTTCATCCTTTTTAATTTTAACATTTAGCATAAAACAACAGGATAAACTTTTTTTTTTTACATCAGTTTCCTATACTTGGATCCAAGAAATAGGTTTATGGTGCTGCAGCGCCACATTCATGTTTGAGTAATCTACAGTACATGCGAATAATAATGTAGCCTTCAAGGTTTATATATTTTCCCTTCATGGGCGATGTTATTAATAGCCTCATCTTTCTTGCTGCCTTAAATACAGGGTGAAATATTTTGACAAGTCCATAGCAAAGGGAGAGAGGTCCAGGCCAAAGAAACATTTGTTTGAATTAATCATTCGATTGTGAATTAACGGTAGGTTTACATCTCGCTGGACCTTTCTCTGTAACTCTGACATCACCTTGAGTCAGTATGTGCAATTGCTCCTGTAAGTCACATCTGTGTCTATTTAGGGAAAATCTTTACAGAGATAAATTATTTTTGAGCAATGAAGGATGAATCTCTTGTGTTTTCTTTGACCTTGTGAGCAAAATACAAAAAGTAGAGCAATCGATCTCTACCCTCTGAAGATACCACAATATTGTATTTTGGAATGAACAGCGGGGGGGGGGGGGGGGGGGGGGGGGGGAATAGAAGTGAAGCCAGATGAACAGCTGTATTGAGATAAACCGTCACCCCATATGCTGAGGGAAAACAATCTCTGCACATTACAGAGAGTGAAGATGAAAAAAAATAAGCTTAATCAACTAACATTGATATTACTTCTGGCAATTAGGAGCATGCTGGTAATGATATGAGTTTTCAGCTGTAAATAATTATGCTGCCTGCGGGCCATGCTTTAATTCTCGGCTGTATCTATAAACAATAATCAAACCAACAGCAGCAGGCTAAAAGTTGGAGATTTGTGGTTTGCAGAGCAGCGGTTGAGGAGCAGCTTATTGGAGCCCTGTGGTGATGCCAGTAGTCAGGGTCACCTTCAGGTGCTCTCTCATCTGTACACCAGCGCGCTGTTCTATTGATCAGCCGGGATGTTTCAACACAACAGATATACATATACAGCTGCACACAAAGCACATGCGAACGTATATGAAAGGTTTGTGCAAAGAAGTGCACGTGAATGCATGGGTCCTCCTACCTATATAGTGTGTGTATGCATACTTTCTGTGCACACATGCATAAAGCTGGCATGCTTTACTCATTCTTCACATAGGATTTCTGTGGCAATGATTACAATAATACTAGGTTTAGGAAACTGACTCAGAACTAAACGTGCTTAACATGCTTGTTTACTTCAGTGCTCCTAAAATTAATACCAGTTTTAAAAGAGCAACATAGGAAAAAAAACTTTAAATGCTAGAGTGAGACTTGACAGGTAACTTTTACTCACTGTCACACAGGAAGCAGAAATCTGCTGATGTGTTGGGACTAAGATGAAGTGCATAATTAAGGAAACATATGAAAGCCAGCACCAGGACTGAGATTAATTAGGTGTGTGTCAATACCCTCATCAATATCCGATTAGCTAATGACACATGGCCCAATGAAGGCTATTGATCTTCTTCAAGTATGCGGAGTTAATAGGTTGAAGCCCACACTCAAATGGAAAGCTGACAGAAAGCTGTAGAAACAGTTTCAATGTATTTGGGACACAGGGCCCTAAACACAGCAAAAATCTGAAATGTCCCTTCAGTCATAGACAGTCGGATCACATTCGCGTAATGTGGCCTCGTGGGATTGCAGTGATTGCTGTGACCACAACTGAACTTACTCAGCTTTGCAAGAATTCCCATTCTTTTAGTGATAATTAAAAATGACCCAAAGGATCCCCCTCCCCAAAATGAAAAAAAAAAAAGACTCAATCTAGATTAATAGTGGTGGAATGGCCAACATCATAAGTTGGCCCTTTTATGATAATGATTGTAATGATAATAATGAACACTTGGATGAAGGATGAACAATCCCCTGTCCTGGAGTTGAATCCCTATACAGGTTAATTAGGTAAGATAACATCATTAGCCACTCTCATGCCTGCAAAGAGAATTAATTGGATAAGATGGAGATTTAGGTCTATATTTAATCGCATAAACGATCAATGACAGCTTAGGCAGAAAATGGGAGGTCCAAATCGGTGGGCATCTTATTTAGAATATATTTAACCAGCTTAATAAGCAAAAATAAAATTAAACAAATGTAAGTGTATTATAGATCCTGTAAATACTGCTTTTGATTCAAACATGCATTAATGATGCGTTGTTGTTCGTAGTTAACTTCTGATTGTTTTCGGCTTTGTTCATTAACCAAAGAAAGAGTGTGATACGGGTCCCCTGAATGAACTCAGAGTGTTCACAGCAGCTATCATAAACTTTTGATAAAACAAAACAGTGACTCCGTAGTGGCAAAAAACAAATGAGGGCTATTCATTGCTGATACATATGAGCAATCTCTCTTCCTCAGTTGAAAAGGCCACCAATGGCCTGATGGCTTTGCAGTCATAAATAAAACAGAGGCTGACTGTTTGTTCTAAGGGAAGCATTAGTAGTTCATGATCTGTTTTAAGGAGACATTAGTGTTAATATGCCTTATGCCAAACATGAATGGGCCAATCCGCTGGGCATTTTGTGACTATCCTTCATAGCAGCTGTAAAGCTTGCTTGGTTTTCTTTGGCTGAGAAATACATTTGTCTGCACTTTCCTTTAAATAATGCATGCAACTCGTGTGAATTGTCACATACTACATAATGGATGTTTACACAGCAGCACGAGCACTTTAACGTCAGTTTGGGAGGTTCACTGGAATCGACACTGAGCGATGACAAAAGGGGGAAGTTTCGTACTTTTGTTCAGGTGAAACTATATGTAAACATTTGTTTGAAGAAGCGCCATACCGCACTCCGCATTAATAATTCAGCCTTGTTGAGCAGTGATGCCATCTGTTAGATGAAACTATTACACAGACCAGACTTTATCTTGCCAGCTTAATGGTGATGGTCATGGGTTGCCACAAACTGTCAGAAATGTCCTTCCCCAAAATGTGAAATTGGATAACTCACAGTTCCTGCTTCTGTCATTCATGTTGTATTCATGACAGTCATCTTGCCGCTCTCGAATAATGAATTGTGTGCTATCTTTCAAATATAAAAAGTTTAAAACCGGACGTGTGTACTTTCACCCAGAGAAAGTGAACATGAGGAGGTCATCTGACACCAAGTGTAAGGGCTTGCTGTTAGGACCTGCGTCACTATCGCCTTGGCGACTGAGGTGTAGCTAACCATAAAGAGGGAGGATTCTGACTTCACAAGGTAACATACCTCTTAATCCTAAGTAATAACAATATCTATGTATTCAGTTACTGTTATGGTGTGCTAGTTATTTGCAAAAGTTTGGCTTAATAATCCATTCAGATCAAATTACATAGTTTAGTGAAAAGCCTTCTTACCTGCTTTTAATTTACCTGAAGAGGAGCAGTTTGACAGAACTCAGAAAAAGGGATTGTTTCTTATGTTACTATAAATTTATAAAGTGCAAAGAGCACATTTAAAGTAAATATGCTGCAAAATGTTAAAAAGCCTGGCCCCTTTTTTGACTCTTATTGTCAGCCGTGTGAACTGTGTGTTTTGGGGGAGACTGACGGCTGTCAAAGAACAAGAAAAGGCTTCTGTCTGCAAGCAAATAAAATATTCTTTGGTGCGCGATGCCCTGTCTCTTTGTGACTATTGAATTACAGCCCCGATCCGTGTTTGTGGAAACGGGAAAAAAAATGTCAGGGAAGATTTCAGGTCACACCATGCCTCAAAAAAAGGGGAAGTGCCTTGTCTACTGCAAACACTGATCCCACTGTCATTCTGGATTAGGGGCTGATTGAGCTTAGCTGACTAGATGACAGAGGAGATGGTCTTTCTCAGGGCGAAAGAAGTAGATGGAAAAAGGTTGCAGGTCAAATATAGTGACATTCCTGAGGAACAATGCACACACTTGCGGTATTTTTAATCAGTAGATCCATTGTTCATATTAGTGCTGTCACTATTTTAGACATCTAGGGTAAAGCACAAGCTCCTTATTTAATATATTCAGTGTTTGAATTTATGTGAATAAAGTTTAACTCTTAAAAAGTTTTGAGAGAAAACCTTTAAAATGCTGCTTTGTGTGGAAAGGTCCAGAAAAAGTCGTGAAAAAGTTCTTTAAAAGCCGAAATATTTTCAGTTCCAAAATTTAAAACAGCAATCAATCGACGGCAGCGTTGTCTTTTTAAACTCTGAACCGAGCTGCTTGTTCCCACCATTTTGCTGTGATTGAACAGTTTTGTGGTGTGCAGGTCAAAAACAAATGCAATTGCAGGAAATCGTATATAGATCATTTAGCTGCACCCTGGCTCGTGTCGGCAGAGTGTGTTTGCATGGGTGTATTGCTCAGTAAACACATGAGTTAAATTAACACAGCAGAGAACTCCAAACTTCTTGTCTTTTTTTTTTGGATTGATACTAGCAAAAAAAAGTCCAGAAAGTGCATTAAACTTCCTGGACTTTTGGGGTTTGTTGTGCAGTGCTGTAATATATTCACATATGGCTGTTGACGGAAAGCAGAAAAGTGAGCCAGTCCTTTATATGGTTAACAACAGTACTGGCAATCTCAGTATTTGGCAGGGGGTGTTCAGTTTTAACTACTAATGGACTTATTTTTCTCACAGCATCACAATTTTACAGCCTGTGTAAAACGATTGCACACACACACACACATGCAAACACACAATGCCAGAAAAACAGTTCACCAAATTAAAAACAGGAATGTTAGGGTGTCTTTAATTCAATAAAATACACATGTACAGGAAATGCTACAAAGCACCTCTTTATCTAAAAGTATTATCCTTCTTCTGGTGATAAGCGCCATTAGACACAAATAGATGCAGCTGGAAATGTAGCTGAAAAGTTTTACTCTCCACAGTTGTTTACGCGATCGCTTTTTCCTTTTCTTTTTTTGTTCTCTTTTTTTGTGGGCCGTGATAAGGTGCATGGATATCCTGTGGTCTTTGCCTAGTCAATGTGCGCGGACCGCACACTGGCTCCGCTTTCACTGAGTTATTACGTCGAGTGTAATTTGAAACAATTACAAAAACACTGGCCCACTTGTTACAACACTCATTTTCCCTCACATATACAAACCACAGATTCAATAGCTTTACATGTTTTTCAATCACACCCAGTGGAGCAGTGTTCAGTGTGAAAAAGTATAGCATTTCATCCTAGCTCGCATGGTATGGGATAATCTTTCACATTTTGCCTGGGGTTTGTTTTGCTATTTCAGCAGAAACTTGTGCAAGCCATGTGAATTACCATAGGAAAAGACGATAAAAATACCAAATGATATTGTATCAGATGTAAATGAATAAACACTTTGAATAATCAAGGCAAATAATTTGTTATCTGTGATAATAAATGGTGTTTAGTGTCCTACATTCTCTGAGATGCATTGCAGAGATAACGGTTTTAAGCACACAAGCAGGAGGAGAGTGTGTAATGCTGTGTGTGCTGCAGTAAAGGCTTTCGTACACACATTCAAATAAACCTTTTTTTTTTATAGCTCTAATAATATAGGCATGCTTTAAATTAAGAGGCAAATTTAACGTTTGAAATTAAGTCAATAGTAGCATCTCTGTGCTTTTTATTTAGTTTTTAGTTTTTCATGAGCCTCGGTTTAACTTTATGTTTTTTTCCACCATTTTTCACACATTCTGTTTTTTAGGCCTGGTCTAAGTTCAGAAATCAGGGTCAGCCAGTGATGATCTTTTGCAGTTTGTGGAGATGGACACCTTTGGCAGTGTGAGTACAGTTTCACTTCTGGCCCTCATAACAGTGTGACTGAACACAGTGAGGTCAAATCCTTGTACCTCCAGCTCTCCCTCTCTCTCAAGGTGCTGGAGCAGCCTGACCATTGACATTTAGCATTCCTCTGTGCTGCCTCTGGGTTTTCAATGGGGGGGGACTGAGAGATGCAGAGGCCAGTGCCTGGTTCTCAAGGGTAAAAACAAAAAGGCTCTTGAAAATCCCAAGGAGTTCCCATGATCCTAGGAAAGACCTTGATCCGACCTGTGTTAGATTTCCATTCCATGGATTAGGACAAAAAGAGCATATTTGGCTCATATTTACTGGCATTATTTTGGTATTTGTTTTGTATTTTTCCCTGGATTGTGGAATTGCAGCGTTTAGACGACTTATCTAAAATTTTGGCAACAATAAGAATTTACAGATTCTCTGCAGTTTGTTTTCACATCCATTCAGAATTCATGCCCTTCAATGACATTTCTAAGTCGGTACAAAAGCTTGTAGTGACATTTTATGGTAGAAAGTTTTCAAAGTCATTTTTCAAGGTTTTTTCCAGCAACATACATAATCTGTTAGCATCAAAGGAGCACACATGCATAAATAATTGACTAATTCACTTAAAGGGGGCCAGCGTAGATTAATTAAGCTTGAATACTAATTATGTTTTCTGTCTACACCAACTGACGCGGTTGTTGTTTAGAAGAAACTGTTTGGTGGGTCACAATTACCATGCACATATAAGGCTGCTCTATAAATTGAGACGGTTTCACATTTTAAGGGTAGAATTGGCTTTGTATGCTTTTGAAACAAAATGCTAACCTTATCTATACTTATTTAAATAGAGATGCTTTGTAGATGTTTTAATTATTCTTATGACATTTTATCAATATAACAATTTTTATTATGTGGATAGATAAAAAGAGACTTTGTCAACATGAAAACAAAAGTGGTCATTGATTTAGCAAGGCTCAACTTTTGCGTGTCACATCGTTTTATTGCATGGAGTTATGATGTGTAGTCGCACATATATGTATATTAATGACTTTACTCGCTGTGTGTATCATGCCCTTGGATTCAAACTGTGTTGATCAAGACAAATAAGAAATTATTTTTAGGTACAAGTTGGAGCTCAGTGAAGACACAAAACACATTATGGGATCTCTGTGTAAAGCTCTTAAAACTCTTGTCACTTCCAGAATCACTCTTGTCCCTGAATCCTTTGCCTAGTGCGCAGGGTGCTTGTCTGGAAATGGTAGCTTTAAGTAGCTCAGTGAAGACAAGGTTTTGCTGTCTACTCTCCCCTGGCAAGCAGCGCGCAGGGACAGAGGAAGACAGCTCAAAGCTGGGGCCTTGTTTACAGCTGTGTGGGGAAGAAAACAGGCAGACGTAAATGAGGGTTGACGGTTTCATGAAGCACAATTGGTTGATGGCAGATTCAATGTGACTGGGCTGAACTGGGCGATGATCCGTACAGTATGCAAAATTCACTTTCTAGCTGGTCTGTGCCCACCAGCCCCTAGCAGCGAGCGGTCTTCCCCAAGCCCTTCTAGCTATGCCTTTGAATGCAACAAGAACTGAACAAGGCATTGTTGTGCTCAATTCCTTTTGACAACAATCACATTTAAAAAGAAAGAAAGGGAAAAAAGTCACGATTCTCCTTTTTTGTCACCCGTTGTAAATTATTTTTTTCCCATGTTGGCTGCAAAGTAAGCATTTGGTGTGCTTCACAGTGAAATGAGGTGGAGTGGGTGGATTTAAAGGGGCATATGTAGATGCCTTCAGATGGGAAGAGAATGGGCCTGTTGTGCTGTGCTACTATTTACAGTATGGCTGTTGTGAATGGTATAATACATCCAAATTTCTTGGCGTGTAATTTTGGTGCAGCTCCAAAAGTTTAACACATGTTTGTGCAAAGTCACAGAAAACAGCAGAAACTTTGGCTTGGGCTGGTTTTCACATTTCTCAGTGTACTGCATAGTAAGTCCTGCACCTGACCAATTAGTTGGCTTTTTTGTTTTTTTTAATGAGTCCTTTCTTAGCTTTCATGACAGAGAGCTTTACATGGCAGGATGTGCACCCAGAGTCTGGGGCTACCATATAGAGTCTAGGCTCTTTACTTGGTTACCTTATATTCAAATTGACACTTTTATTTGCAGGGCATGAAGCTATCGCACTATGCACAGTTAGAAACATGGGAACTTTTATAAATCAGAGTAATACAAAATGTGCTTTGAGGACAACCAGTGTAAAGACAAAGAAAGAAAAAAAGAACAGTGCCAAAAACCCTTCATGTTATGTGCTTAAAATGTAAAGTCTGCTATAAATTATGAAGTAAATGATATTGCAGATATTTCTAATTGGGCTGTTAGCATAAAAGGTGGCTTCTTCTTAAACGTCCACTCTTCAGATGGTTTGTGGTTCAATCCCCAGCCACATGCCACAGTGTCCTTGGGAGAAACATTGAACAATAATAGCAAACATCTGTGTTGAAAGGACTTATATATGCAGACTATTAAAGATTATTTTCCTAGTCCGAAAATCAATTACAGTAGCAAACAAATCTGAAATGTTTCTAATCACAGTATGTGTTGTTAAAAGGCTGAACAACAAGCTTTTAGTGTCAAGGGGGAAAACTGTAGTGTGGATGGACATTATTTTATATTTAGTCATTAAGGATTTCCGAATTGGCTCTGAGGTTCCAATAACAATCAGCATTTTAATACCATATAAAGAATGCAAATACCATTTAGCTTATTCAAATCACTGATTTAGTTTGCAGGATAATATTATTTAAGTTGTCTGGTGTACAAATGAGGAGTGTGTGCATTTTTCATTAGCAAAAAAAGAACTGTTTGATGAATTTTCTTCTAATTGTTGCAGGGAATGTCGATAATTTGAGTATGCACCTGAACATTAGTGCAGAAAGTTCTGTAAATTGTTTACTGAAATGTAAAAAAAAAAATCAGAGAGAGAAGAAGAAGAAGAAGAAAATGAAAGAAACGACAAGGAGACATCTTCACCAATGCCAAATTTGTCTCTCATTTTTGTATGTGCAACTCAGAGAAAATGATTGGTACCCAGTCGAAAAGAAAATGGTTTTTAAATAAGTTACAATTAGATAAGCATTAATCTCAGTGGTATAAATGAATGTCTTGCTGTAGGGCTTGTTGAATGTAAAAACAGATTTACAAAAACTCCTCTTACCAGATTGGTCTGGAAGTAGTCCTCTGCTATTTTAATTGCTCTGTCATTTAGAGTTGAAATAAGCCCTCCCCACCCATTCTGCCCCTTGATTTTTCCTTTGAAATTAAATATTGTATACAAATACATGCTGTTCATGGGCATGAGCACAGTTCATCACTGAAATCTGCATAAAATGATGCTTAAAAAGCTCCATACGCTCTGAGCAACAAAGCTCTTTTATATGGCGCATTCTTATGTAAACATATCAATAACAAAAACAACTACTTATGCTTTTTACCTCGGCTTTCTTATTGTTCTGCTTGTCCGCAGAAATGAGAGAAATGTGGGAGTGCGGGGTTTGTTCCACATACTCTTGATTTCAAAGAAACCCATACTTTCTGTCTTATAGCCCTTCTTTTTTCTTTCCACTTCATACCAGTGAAGACCACCTACAACTCCAAGTCGGAATAGTGTTCACTTAGCCTGTCTTTGTATTCCCCCTGCCTCCATTTATATTAAATTTGTGGCATCTTCAAGAATAAGTCCTTCATCAAAAATCTGTCTTTACCAAATGCAGGAGACCTGACATGATGTTATTTAAACACCACTTCTCTCCCTCCTTTGAGGGTTTTTAGGTTGAGTTCATGTGAATGGAAGTAATGAGAAGTGTGCCTGGATTTCCATACTCATTTGCACACCGAGACGGTGTACTCTCATGCAGCTTGTGCAGAAAAAAAGAAAGAAAGAAAGAAAATGCATAATTTTCCAGGCGCGAGTGTTGTTGCCCGTTCTTTTTAGAAACAAGGAGGGAGTATTTTAATGTGACCTTCATTACACATTCGTGTCAACTTTTCTTATCTATTTATGATTAAATTCTTTTCCACTCCTGTTGTTCAATTAGTGCTTGACCCCTTTAGCGGCGATGTAAATTAAATGACATTTCAGTGTCGTCCCATATTTAAAATACTGCGTTAGTTGCGGATCATAAATGATGATCTTCATTCTGCAGCTAATTTATTCATTTAACAATTTCCCTCCAGAAGTTACAGCAGAAGGCTCTGCAGCAACCTAAGCAGAAGAAATCCAAGTCGGCTGAATTTCTGATGGGTGAGTCCTGCTTGATGAGTTATTGCTCATAATTTGTGTAAGGATTAATTAACTAATTACAGACAAATGGCTTTGGGCTAAATTTTGCTCTTGCTTGTCAGGGCGCAATTTGTAATTATTTTAATCATTTCTTCTTCTCCTCTTTTTTTTCTCCTCCTCCTGCAAGATTCTGATTTAATTTTAACCTAATTGTGTTTTAGCATCATTCGAGGAGGATGCGCTTGAACATTTTGGGGCAGTCAAAGCACCAATAGAATTCTGTTGTTTATAAATATGCCTTGTTTTTTTCTTTTTTCTTTTAATGACTCACTTTGATGTAAGTGTTGTCCCGGCCCTGCGTGTCATTGTATTTTCATTTATGTTTCTATTTATTCTGTCAGGGAGAGAAGCGAGAGCTAATGTGGTGGGCATTGAAAACCCAGCCTTTGATGGAGAAAGAAGCACCGAGCGTTCCATTCCTCCGGTTTGGCTCGGGAGAGAAATTCGAGGTGACAGGCCAGATAGCACCCTTGCAGCTCACCAAAAAAAAATGGAGCCGCGAGCCCCTGCCAAAGAAAGAGGTGAAGCTTCATTCTTCATTAGCCTCAAATTTGTTGACAGTAGATGTGTTCCTGATCTAACCTTTCTCTCACTGCCTCTTTCCTTCTCTCAGTCTGTAGCTTTCCATTTGGGGGGCCCTTGGTCCCTGCATTCCAAAGCAAGCGTGTCCTAACAAGCAACCCTCGTATAACTTCTTCCTTCGCTGGAGAACGCTACAGTAGTGGGTGTTCTATCTCTATCTAGAAGTACCCTCGACACAATCAGCCTTGACTCCCACTCTCGGCTACATGCCTTGTGGTGGGCTGGAGTCATAGGAGAGTGCATTTACATACGCTACTACGCTATCGAGCCGATCCGCTGTCTGTGTGGTGTACTCACAACGCCCCCAAAACACAGCTTAAGGCCAATCAGGCATACGAATATGCCCCCTTATAATTCAGTATGTCAGAGAGAACTCTTGAGGAATGGGATGGTAAATTAGGATGTGTTCGAGGTTGTGAGTGTGCCAGTTTTCTCGGGGATGAGTCACATGTTAGATTCTTGATTTAATATGGTTTATTTTGCTTTCGCTGTGTATGGCTAGTAATTATTATCTATTTTGTCATTATTTTTTATGCACAAGAGGCAGAGCAAATCCTGGGTGGAAAATAAAGTTCATTCTCAAGTTGCTCTGGAAAAGCAATCATCTTTTTTTTTCTCTCCCACCATCGGCTCGCATTTGGTGTGAATTAAACACTGTCAATATCCATTATAAGGATTTGCAAGGTAGGCGACCAAATCTGGAATCAGAGAGCGAGCCCCATCCGTTCAGAGAGGAGTGTTACATCTGACTGCCAGTAACTCAGAGTAGCGCTGCAATTGGACAAGGGAAGCCTGCTTTGATGGACTGCCTTCATTTTTACATGGACTTGATTAGGAAGGCAATTTATGGTTGCTGAAACACTGCAAATAAATAAAATTGAAAATGCACTGAAGAATTTATAGGTTCTGAATCCACAAACTATGAATCAGTAGCACGCAATAAGCACTTCTGACTTGTGTGCCTTTACTGGAAGATCCAAACAGAAAATGTTCCATGTTTGTGACACTTTGGCCTTTTCCAGACTCTTTCATTATCTCTTGGTCTCTGCTAACAGTATCTCTGGCTGCCAAGAAGTGCTAGTTACAGATATTGTGCATGTAAGAACAGATAATTGAAATTTTCATTAGAGAGATGAATTGGAGGGCAGCCAGACTATTTAGGTAAATCACAGCTATGATTCAAAAGGCGATTCACGAAGCTACTACCATTATGCAAATTTGTATTTGAAAAAAGGGTTTCATAACCTCAGAGCTATTTGCGGAGAAATTGTTCAAACTCTCTGCTAACAATGTACCAGGATTTAACATGTGAATTTCACAGTCAATTTATGACACCATTGAAGAGTCATGTAGCAGCATGACTCTTAATAAGTATTTCAGTCTGAGTGTTTAAGTTGGAGTATGAAAGAGCAGGAAAACCTCATGCAGATATTTTACAAGAACACAAAAGAATTTCTGTGGAGTTTTTTTGGGGGGTAGTGGCCGAGTGGCCAGTGGTCCTTTTATGCAAACAAACTCGCATTTTTATGCAACCAATCACTGAAGCCCTCAGACTTCTATAAACGCGCCTTGTGTGGAATATATAACATGACTTAATCCATTTTCCCCTCACAATCTGAGAAATACAAGTCAAGCAATTTAGATTGGAGCAAAATATTCAAGGCTTGCAATGATAATGATTCCAGGGGTTAAAAAAAAGCTGTAGGTGGGGTGTACCTTTAATAGAAAGTGCCCCTGAGCCAACTGATTCCCATAAACTCTGTGGAGCAGACTTGATACCCATAGGTCAGTGATTGCTAATAAGAAGTCAATGAGACATGGGCTCAAGTTATTTTCCTTTGGATCTGCTCCCCCAAACTTGCCTCCTTCTCTAGGCCGCTGACCTCGGAGTATTTAGCTGGTATTGTCTTTGAAATTCCAGGTACTTTTGGGCTTGTAGACTTTCTCATTAGTTCCTTTTGAACATGGAAAACATATGGCAGTCATATTTAAGAGATTGCTTGCCATGACCTTTTGCAGCATGCTAATTAGGCCCCAGAGCACCGCAGGCCGTGGAGAGGTGCACTGAGAAACCCAGGAGTCTTTTTCCCAGTTCTTTCTCTGCGCCTCTGAACTCCTGTCTCATCTTGGCTCTGCCTTATCTAGTAGCAGCCACTACCACTGCCCTTCGACAGTGTGGGTTTCAAAATTAACATTTTGCTTCATGTGCTTCTAATAACCACTAACCTGAACCTGTACAACTCCCTCCTTCCCCTCCCTTACCACCCCGCCAACTCCCAATCCCTCTTTCTCTCATTCGCTTTCCTCGTCGTGCACTTTCCACAGGAAATGAACGTGCGCAAAATTACTTTGACCCGTCATCGACAAGGCAGACGGACTCGGGGCATTGCAGGACGACTGGGGTCAGCGCTGAAGATGAGCTGGAATTAAGTATGCCATTCTCTGTCATAATGGTTCTCCTCGGTTCATTAAAGAGGGGTGAGAGAGATCACTAGTAACAGGCTGCCATTCGTGATGCCACGGCGGTCTATGTAAATACACCAAGTGATGGCATCACTAGATTGGCTACCCAAGTCGTTGTCATTGATGAAGGTCATGTATCATTGGTCAGTTTTCATTTCACAGTGGCATTTTCTCTCCCCCCCCCCTCAAATGACACGTGCAGAGCCATATCAGGAGTAGGCCTATTAAAGGCAAGCTCTTGGGAGCCAAGTAATATGCATGTTATAATGAAACCTGGCTATTAATGGAGAAGGCATTTCACCTGTATCTTTTGGATATCACTGCCGTGTAATATCAAAGGATCCACCAAATCAAATCTCATCACATGATGACAGGCCAGCTAACAGGCATGTTAATGCTCCCATTTCATTACCCCTCTACATACACTTGATTTTCACCCTTCCCCACGACTAATTTGCATGTTAAGATGCAGTTTCGATTGAGTTGGCTGATAAGCAGAAAGTAATTATTAAAGCACACAAAAAGAAATATATTTCTTTTTTTGGCACCATTCAAATATACTTGTTTGGATTTACAGAAACTTTCACTGCTGATGAAAAGAAACTGTATGAAAGAATAACTGTGTTGCTGGATGACGAAGACACCTTCATTGACTTACCTGGTATGTATCCCCTATTAGCTATACTACAGTGCCATAGTGATTTGTGGGTCCTTGATTTATTGTGATATTTAGCCAAATTTCATCCAGTTTTGCACATTTAACCTATGTGTATCACTTAAACTAGTTTGCATGTATTTGCTTGTATTGCTGGTTTAAATCATTGGTATAATTCACAGACATGCTGGTTAGTGTAGATAGTGCAGAAGAACTAAATTTCTTTTCAGATTTTAGAGATACATCTTTCTGTTAACTTCCATCTGTATTAAAATATCATTAAAAACACAATTTTGTGAACAAGAATGTCATATTTTCTTGTGTGTTCTACTTTCTAATGTTAAATGTAAATAACAGAAACCATCCACCCAAAAATATGATGCTGTATTTCCCACTAAAAGCAGCACTACCATAGAACAAAGAGTAAACTAGAAAGGGACGCTCACCAGCAGACGGTGCTTTCCAAGCAACCCTATTGTCTCACAGTAGTCGTGCCTTTTCTCATTAGCTCAGTTTCATTTAAATATGTAGCCATCCAGGCAATACTGAGATGGTTTAAGCTTAGCATTGTTCTGGGTGAAGACAGTCATACCAGATCCTGTTGACATGACGCACATCTCTCTTGTAATTCCAGCGCACAAGTGATGGGTTTAGGCCCGCTTCAACACGGTAGAATTTAGCAGGCTTGTATTATTTCCTATTGTTTTGGATTTAGCTGTACCACCGAGATTAGCAACCCCATCCATTGTTTTGGAATGTTCATGAAATCCCACAGAGAAAGTAAAGAGGATCTTGGATTAAGAGTTGCTTCATGCAATAGGCTGAGAGAAAGGGAAGGAAAGAGAGACAGGGAAACAGAGAGAGAGAGAGCTTGTACTTCTGTACTGTCCAACACTACTGCCAGTTAGCACTTTACTGAGCTACAATAGACTTCAAGACAATGACCTTATGCAGTTGTATGGATGCCTCCCACCGGTGTAGGCTTCAAGTGTTCTTTGCAGAGGGCTCAGAGTATGTCAGTCCTGATCCTGACATTTTGTGACTGCTTCTCAGGCTTTTGTTTTGGCTTTTACAGCCTGTCACAAAGCACCATACACATTTCACAAGAAAGAACCTGAATAAAACAAAACATTAATGAAATGGACAGTGGCCAGTGTTGGAGCTTTTTTTCTTTCCTCTTTTAAGAAAAAAAATCCTGGAGAAGTCTTGTCTGTCTGCCTTGGATCTTCAGCTCTTCTTCTTTTTTATCTTGATGAATTCCTTTGCTTTGGCTTGGAGATGAAAGACCACAAAACTGGTATTCTGGTTTTCTGTAAGGCGTTAGGCGTCGCTATCAGCCTCTATGTGAAAAGCATTAAGCAGTTTTAACAGATTTGGCTCTTGCACACGTTGGACTGCACACGTTGAATATAGAGATTGTTGAAGAATACATCACATTTCTACCAATGAGCCAGCACAGCAAAACTGAAACAGAAACAGCGAGCATGATAAGCTACTGCAAACAATGCCTCTCTCCATTCAGTAATGATTTTTAGGTTACTAACTTAAAACTACTTTGCATATGTTTTTTTCAGTTTAGAGGCTTGGTCCCATTTCAGTCTGGGCATGTTAGATTAGCCTAGCCTGTAGAATGCCTTTTACTGAAATAGAGCAATTTGATGAAATGTGCTATATTCATTGATTCATCCTATTTTTTTTAAACTAACTAAAAATATATATTTTTGTACACCTCTTATAATAAAAAACTAACATTATAGGATTCAGCATTTCTTTTTTGTTCCTTCTCTAAACAAAGTCCTGCCTCAGTATAGTTTTAAGCCAAACATGTGGATGTGTGAATTGAACATGATGCTTTTTGACTGTTCACCATTGTGTTTTTGTACAAACTTCCACTTCAGTACATCATACTGTTTGCAAACATACACATATCTATCAGTTTGTGCCTGTTTCTGGATGTGCTAAATATGCTCATCCATCAGTATGTGAATGCATGTTCCAGTGTTTACGAGTGGAAATCCGTGTGCGTATGTGTGTGTGTTTGTGTATGTCTGGTTGTGCGTGTGTCTGCACATGCCCACTGATGCGAATCTCTCCAGGTACGCTGCTAGCCTCCAGGGATGAGGAGGTGTTGGAGGTGAAGGCGGGTGATCTGGTGCTTCAGCGGCGACTGCTGCTCCACAGTGGTGGTGATGCCTCGGGCTCCAGGCCCTCCCAGGCCCATACCATTGCCAAAACCCAGGCTGAGGGTAGTACTGAGCTGGGAGGAGAGGCTGGACTCGAAGCAGGGAGGATGGTAATGGGCAGAGAGAGCACTGTAAAAAGTAATGCTATCCTTTTATTCGTTTTAATGTTGATTGATCCTATACATATATACATAGTACTATTTTATTGCACTAAATTAAATGGATTATCTGATTAAAACAAATATATATTGGAGAGCAGAAAATGTCTCATAAAATCAAAGTTAAAAGTAACATGATATTATTTCAGCATTGCAAAATTAATTAATTCAATTCAGGGTTGCATGATTGGATCAATGATGCAATGGGAGACTTGACATAATATTCAAAGAATCATGCATGCTTTGGTAATCTTGTAGTTTTGTTAAATATTAGAATGCTTTTGCTGCCTCTGTAATATTTCTTGCAGTGAGGACAGCTGAGGAGGTGATCCCCCACTACACCCAGCAGCTGAAGGAGCGTGCGCGGCCTGACATGATCATGCTTGGCAGCCTTTCACTGCAGCAGGTCAGCGCTACAAAGAGGAATATCTGTGTCATCATCCCATATTCACCAGCACATCAGCCATGTCCATTATAGTGTGTATCAGTGGCTTGGCTAATGGACATAGAGTCTGTGCATGTGTGCATGTACGTCTATCTGTTTTTTGTCTCTTCACATGCCTGTTTGCAAAGTGAGTAACTTCCTTGGCTTAATTTTCTTCTTCTCATTTTCTATTTTTCTTCTTTTCTATGTTGTCCCAAACCTCCCCCCCCCCCCCCCCCCCCCCTTCTCAATCCATTTCATTTTCTTGGAAGATGGTCTCAGCTGAATGCACTCATGTTTCTTTTGAACAGCGGGCATTCAAGGTACTTCAGAGGTTAGATTACTCATTCATCCTTGACTCAAAATTAGAACATGGATTTTAAATCGATATTCTATTCTACATATGATAAGCTCAAACCATTAATTTATTTGATTTATGTAGACTCTCTTCTTCTCTCTTTCCACTTTGTTGTGCATTATTATGCATATTTGTCTCTAACAGAAGCTGAATTTCCTCGGTGCTTTACAAGTCTCAGGAAAAAAATAAAAGATCACGACTACTTTTCATTTTCCAACTGAGGATTTTCTGAACTAGCTTTAAGATCTGAAGCTTCTTTCAAAACAAGTGTTTGCATTCGATCAGACAGAAGAGAAATGGGAGTGGATAGAAGAACAGCAGGTTCTCATTGTGTAGGCAAATCTAGGTTCCAAAGAAACACATTAATGCATATGTAAACACAGGAATGCAGGACTTCCATCCACTGTATTTTTAGTTCTAATCCCATTTGAAAAGAGAGGAGAGAGAGTATCAAGTTACATGAATAGAAAGTAAATGTAACCGGGAAACAAAATACCCAACAATGACTTACTGTCACTCCGAAGTCACAGCAACAGTTGACTCATCTTTCCTCACTGGATAATCAGCGGCATCTACTGTGTACTGTATCAGTAGTGGGATCGGTGTTATCTTATTCGACAATAATATGTATGCGCTCTCCTACCTCCCACTCCCACCTCCCATTGAAAGCACATTATCCACCAGAGATTTCACATCTATTTTAAAAATAATAGCGTTTTTCTTCTTTCTCTATTCTGCCGCACAAAGCTGCTGCAGTGCGAGACATTGTCACTTAGCAGTGTCAATGTGTCTGAATGGGGAGTGTGAATGTGCTGACTGAATGTAAAACCGGCAGAAATACTCATCAAACGCTACATGTCTTTAGGGTCTGGCTCGGTATCGATTGCCTGCAGATTGCATTACAGTTGCTCCTTGTGCTTAATTCTGCCATTATGGTGCGCTGCACTGTTTCACAAAGCTGCACCCAAAAGAACGCGTGCATGTGATTTTGAACATGTTTTCAGCAAGTGGCTCAGAATGGACCCCCGAAGAGAAGCGAGTGGGCAAAGAGAAAGAAAAGACTAATGGCTTTCTTCACTGGTGATTTTAAGGTAAATGATCATGTATTGTATAGTGCAGAGCAGAGATGTTGCTGTTTTGCTACATATGAGAACACAACATATCCACTTTAAATTAAAGGAGCCCGGTTCACAAAGAGACAGCGATGAGGCAGTGAGACCACAACCCATGATGAACACACTGCTTCCGCGGTAAAGTCCAGCCCATTTCATATTTCTTTCCATATGTAAAATTTATGTCACATGACTGTAATCATTAATTGTGTTGAAAGCATTTGTATTCCCACTGACGTTCGGGAAGGAATGTAATTCATGTGTCCCCCGCATGACTTCTCTTGTCGGCAGACATTGCGTTGTGGGTACTATGGCTCCGGGGCACAGAAATCTGTCCATGTCACTGGGCTCGGAGGTGCATCAATTCTTGGTCCATCCGCTTTATTCAGAGATCACACATCACATCTTGAAGCGAGAGCCCCAAAGGCAATCAGCTTAGCATGTTTAAGTTTTAAGTAATTACGGACTACCGCGCCGGCTGACACGATAAAATCAAGACACCACTGTACACATCAGCATCTCGTCTCGCACCGGGTTGTATTATGGGTGGGTGGCAGTCGGACACCAGCCCTGTCAGATGAATGTGGTTTGGAGTTTAGCGAGATGACCTCCTCTCGACAGCCTTGAACCCTGTAAATTCCCTCTGATATCAATGGTGGGTGGCTATTAGACATGGGAGACTTTCTATGCATCACCTAGGGCTACATCTGCCTGAAATTGAATGAGAAATTATTTCACTTTCTCTCTCTCTCGCTCTCTCTCTCTCTCTATGCCTGTGAAAGAAAAAAATTAAAGAGCAGAGACACAGAGCTGACTTGTGGTTTTTGTAACAAATGTGTAATTCATTTGTTTCCACTGTTTCTAATTTAATGGAGGTTGAGTAATTGCATTAGGAAGCACATTGTGCCTTGTTGTGAACTGATGAAAGCACATGTAATACTTTTGATAGGCAAACAGAGAGGAGGGAGTGAAGGAGAGAAAGAAAAGAAAGAGTGCTCGCCTTTGATGCGCAGCATTTATTTGCTGAATTATCCTCCCTTTTACAAGCATCTTATCCCCAGTCACAGGCAGGCCAGGGCCCTTGTGATATTGCTTTATTTTGAGGAATTAAGAGAGGTGGCGAGGAGACAGAGCGAAGCAACCGCTTATTACATTACCACTGATAAGATTGAAAGGCAGAGAGAAGAAAAAGAGGAGGGGGAGAGAAAGACAGAGAGAGCGAGAGACAGTGGAAAGTGTTTTGTTGTGGTGTTATTAGATTGAGCCGCTGTTGGCTACAGAGTGGAACAACAGAGGGTCCAAAATGCAGGTGGCTGTTAACAGGGTTAGCCTCTTGTGTTTGTGCGCATCGCATACAAGTGTGTGTTTGTGCACGTAGCAGCCGCGACATCGAAAGCCCGTCACTCAGAGCGTTGGGGGAAGGCCAAGAAGAAGCGATGGCCAAATACAGCCAGATGACAGAGCTCCCAGAATCCTCCTCTGCAGCATCACGGCCCCTGTGGCAGGTAAGATCTGTTAGAGCGAGCCACACATTCACCGAGGACAGAAAGCATGTAAACAGGAAGTGACATACCCTTAATCTGTAAAAGGGTGGTCTCGCAGGAGAAGATATTGATCCTGAAGTGTTTACAAATAACCACAAAAAACAAAAGTGAATGATGTAATTTTGTGAAATCCTGTAACCTGTTAGAGTATCCAAAAAAAAATCCTTTATTTTCTAGATTTTCAAATTTTGCTCCTGTATGTGCACACGCCTGCGCAAAGGCGCATATATTTGCAATACAGCGCTGACTAAAACAGTTTTCCTTATACAGCGTGCTAAATACGTAGTCACAATATCACTATATATTGACACAATGTATTTTTACGTAGCATATAAAGAATCTTTTTTCTGTGGGGATGGTGTCTTTGGTTTTTGCAAAATAAGTAGGAGGAAAAGGGAGCCTTTAGAGAAGAAAAAGGGGGGAACAGAGTTAGAGGAGAGAAAAGATAACTGAGTAGGAAAGAGAGAGAAGGGGACTGCAGCTTTAGTGGTAGCATCACCAGCTGTGGGAGGAGTGTGCTGTTGTGTTGCATCTGGGGATGAGGCTGCCATGCCACCGTGCTGGCTTAAAGATGTAATGAATCTTCAGTCGGGGGCTTTCCTTCCAGGGTGACAACTGGCTTTGAGGAAGGTTGTAAATGCAGGGGAGATTGTGGTATAATTCCTCAGACTGGCGTTTGTGCCCCCCAGTCACCATTCGATTATCTCCCAAATTGCTGTGTTTCACTGAGATAAAGATTTTTTATGGCTTGCTGACTTGAAACAACTAGCACAGGCAGAATAGGGGGCAAAAGAGGGAGAGGGAAAGAGAGAAAGAAGAGAAAGCAATGGCCAAACCTGCCACGCATAGTAATTTCCTTTGGTAAATGACAAAATCTTTGTTTATATGACATTTCCCTAAAATCACTGCAGCGAGATGAATCTGAAATATAAAATGTCACATTTGGCATGCAAAACTATGAAAATATATTTCTGTGCAAAATTCATGGAGGCATTTAATTTAGAACGTGTTTAATAACTAAGGCAGCCTGCATCAGTAATCCTGCCCGGAGGTCCCAAAAAGATTGTCATATTTATTCTCTCCTTTCTTCACCCCCCCCTCCTTCATTCCAAAGCCAAAAAATTTTAAGGGTAAATGTTCATTGTTAATTAAGATATACTAATTAAAATGAAAATAATTAACGAGAAAGCTTAATCTCTGAATATTAGCCCATACTTAGAAAGAAAGGAAGTTTTTGTATGTGGCATTTCCTGTCTCTATTAAGAGTGCATTTTGTGTGATCAGTCAATGTGTGGAAAGCCCTGAAAAGATATTTCAGTGAAAGGACGGCCGCTTGCCAGCAAAACCACGGAGGATCCCTCGCTGGAGCCTTTGATCTCATCTGTAGGAGTGCTGTAATGTTATGGCACTTTAGGCACAACTCAAGCTTGGGGCAAACAAACCACCTCTGATATGGAAAATTGGCTCACTTCACCTTTTACCTTCACCTTGCTGTCTCGACTGACTCCTGTGATGCCTGTGCAAGCATGTGGGCTTGATAATAACAATGCTTACAAATTGGACACCGGTATGACGTTATTATTTTTTATTCCAGTGCTTCTTTATGCTCCTTTCTCCTCCTCCTCCTCTTCCTTTCTTGTCTGCATGCATACATCTCGTTCCAGTGTGGGGGTTTGGAGGTCTTCATCCCCTCCTCCCAAATGTGAGATGTGTGGGCTAAACGGCTTTGCCACCAATTATACTAATTTCGCTTCTGCCTAAATTGTTTTAGTTGTTTTGGTATGCAAAGATGCTCACAGAGGGGAGATTGCGGGGCATTACTGCAGGGCTCAGCACACACACCCCTGCATTGCCTAGCAGAGCAATGGGGATCACCAGCCCTTGCTAGGTGAACGTGTGTGGTGCGTGACTATGAAATAGCAGGGAACAATCTCAGGTACAAACAGCACTGTGTGAAAGTGCGTGCATATGAGTATAGACACTAGCCCCTGAGTGATGCTATATCATTGATTGGAACTGAGGTCTTTAATTGCCAAGCATTCAGAATTTGCCCCTGGCGACTGGTTAACATGGTGTAAATTTGAGCACATAAAATAAATAGGAATTAGAAGTTGGACCTTAGATCATGTCAACACTTATTTAGGATAGGATAGGATGATATGTTGAGTATCACTGTGCGAATTGTATTGTGGATTTATTTACCTTCATCTGGCAGCAGGATTAGGTCAGGAGAGCTGCTTAAAACTTCAGATGGCAGCTTACAGATAGGTTACAAGTAGTTAATATTATAGCAATGTATCAGTAGTCTCATGGTAACATAACTATAAAGTTGTATTACCCGACAACTTAGCAAAGTAAGGACCAAATTTTGTGCCATCCTATGCTATAGGTTGGTAGATAAACAGTAAAATCTTGATGTTAATGCATAATTATTTCAATATCAAAAGACAATTAATCACATAATATTCTGTATTTGCAGCGGTATATTGTTGGCATGGTCACTTTTGACCATTAATACACTAATCAGGGTGAGTATTATTTACATATTAACATTCATCTTGATGCATGCTCAATCATCCAGGTAAGTAAATCTCCAAAAGTTGATTCTGTTCATCTGGATGAACATCAAAAACATTACGTCGAGATGAACAGAATCAACTTTTGGAGATATTAACATTCAGCCATTTTTGCCAACGTCATATAGATTTGGTTGCAATGGCCATGTACTCACAATGCTGTTCTTAATATAACACCCCTGCAATGACACAAAAATACTAGCCAAGAGTAGAGAATATATTAACAGAAACACAGAATATTTTCTGTGTTTCTGGGTTTCTGTGTTTAAATCTTTGCATTTTAGCAACAAAGTACTAACATGTGTGAAATATAGTGTGGTGGTGGTGGTGGGGGGGGGGAGTTGCAATCCAGCTAGAAGCCTGCAGTAAATGATGTTATGATGTGAATAAGCAGAAGTAGATGGAGTCAAACTATAAGCTCAACTTTTCTTCTAGTTTTTTAAAAGTGGTATATTGGCTGATATATATATCACCAATAAGACAGTTTCTCCTGCTGGTTTTCAAATAATTATAAAATATGCAGTTACTGGTTATATAAAATAAATATATATTTTTAAAAAATGACATGTGCACATAAGAAAGCTTATATTCCGGCTGGTTGTGGTGATCTGTGATTGCTATCAGGTGGCTGCAGTGCTGCTTCCTGTTTGATGTGTGAAATCAAAATGGCAAATGCTGTAAAGTGGCTTATGGTGCATGATGTCACATCACACACACACCAACATGCACATGCTCCACAGGGTCTCATACTTTCCAGACTCCCTTGCAAGTGCCCCTGATGGAACATGAACTCATGAGTGGAGTTGCTGTAATCTTAACCTACACTTAAACTAAACTCAAATATGAATTGCATTGAAATTTAGAAACAGCACATAATTACATTGTACAGGTTATTACAACGTTGCCATGCAAAGGCAAGCAATGGGCCAAATTTACTGTTTGTGCTAAAAAAGTAAATAAATTGTGACTAAGGGGTTTCTGTTTAAACTAGATTGACTTTTCATCCACTGCTGTTCAACAGATGCCATAGGACACAAAAGGCTAAAAAGTATCTACATTGTCGTCTGATTATGTTTCATTAGAACAAAATAAAAATGACTGTCTAGCCTGCTTAGACTATTACTCATCCTAAGCTCTGAAACAAGGCACATGTCACCAAAGCAAACAAAGGCATTTGCAAGTGGAATGATGTAGCCTGAAGGTTAACGGGATAATCTTAGTAACACAAGGATGGGGGTTTTTTTTAAAACCAGTCGTCTGAATAGGGAATCTAGTTTCGTTATCAAGGAATGCTGGTATTCCCTTGAGCAAGGCCTTGAGCTTTAAACGCTGAGGGATTGAATGGAGATATGTAGATAGGAGATTGTGACTTTACTGAGCTTGTCTTTAGTGGAATCACATTTGAAACACCTGTAATCTGAGTATTTATTTTTTGAGAGATAAAAATGTAATTCTTGTTTGAAAGATATACTCGTATGAAGGTTTTTAGTTTGTTTGTCCATCTGTCTGTTTGTTTGTTCTAATGATGTTGCCACCAGCATTAAAGTAAGGACAATATTTAGCTTACATGATAAATAATACAGACGTTAAGATGCCATTTGGCAAACTCCTCAGGGGGTCTCATATATCCTCAGCAGTCAAAGACACTGTTGACAGGCAAAGTCTATTAATATAATTATTAATTGCCCCGTAGTTTCCTTAGCATACAATAATTTATATTTATATTTAAGTATAGAGAAAAGCTGTTCAAATAGAATTTGACAAACTTTATTTACACTCACAGTTATTTACAAAGTTACAGAAGTCTTGGTTCAATAAGGGTGTTGATTAAATAACAGTATTTTCCCTAAGAAAATATTTTTATAATCACAGTTTCCACGAATAAAGAAAGATAATAAAATCAAGCCTGTACTTTTTTGTAGGCGGACCAGAGGACTGCTCCCCAGCCCGTGGAGGTGTGTGTGCGTTGCCTAAGAGCCACGAGGGACAGACTTCCCAGGGGTCTCTATACTGTCAGAGTGGCACTTCACAGCCATCTAGGGGGTCCGGCTCTGGCCTGGTGCAGTAAGAAAGGGCAACATGTTTGGGCAACGTCTACTGAGCCCACTGAGCATCGGGGACGCTTCTACGACATTGACCTCCACATTAACCAGAGTCTGTTCATGGTAGCCACAATTTCACTTTGTATAAGCTGTGTTTAAGCATCAGGGCAAAGCATGGGGTGTGCTCTAATGGGGTGATATCCACTGAGCTCTGACAACAACAAAAAAGTTTTAATTTTAGTGTCATACGTCTTTTCTCTGTTGACAATAATACAACAACACACATCAGGGAAAATACACACAATCTGTCCCTGGTTGTGACTATTAAGTGTTAAGAAATAGTATAAATATAGTACAATTTTGTTTTGCAGTTGACAATTGGAAAACTTGAATTAAATTTTTATTTTTTCAAAGAAAAATGGAACTAAATATAAAATACATCTTTCACCGGGAAGCAATTTTGACACTGAGGAGGCAAGAAATTATATTTATAAATTGGTCAAACAATAAAGCTGCACGTGCTAAAAATGACAGAAGCTACAACACTGCCTTTCTGGTGCTATTTCAGAATTTCTCTTTCTTCTTCTGCCTTTATTTTCATCAGCTGCAGTGAAGATAGAGCAGTTTCTACACTGAAAGGGTTATGAGAAGTTATATTACTGTAAAGGCAGCGTATGAAAATATGTCACACACAGCCTCTAGGTTTTTCTCTAGGGATCCCTATATGAATAAAACAACAACTTCTCAAACATGACATTTAATCCATGCATGTAAATCAAATCCAATATCAATTATTCATTCATATAGAAGAAATAATGTTTTATTGGAATAAAAATGGAGCACAAATGGAATGAAGCATTTCGTTTCTTTCCTGTGTGTCTTTCAGCATCTGCCACATGCTTGAGCCGGATCAAGGCATATAAAAGCAAAAATAGAAAAGTTAGGCAGAACTGACAAAAATATGTATTTGAAACATATTTTTAAAAATGTCAGCCTACATTTCCATTGCATAATAGATGACTAAATATGTTTTCCCATTTGGTTCTTTTATTGAAACAACACAGCAGATTACATTAGATGAAATTATGCACATTTTACAACCCCTTTCCTAAACCTTTGGATATGAAGGAGCGGATCTTCTATATAAGCTGTGCTAATCTTTAAAAAAACCCACATACTTATTATAGATGGTCGATATTGACCAGTGGATTAGAACTCTTTGGTTTATTCATTCAGTGATGTGTGCACGGTACAAAAGATTCACAAGCAAACCCTTAAAACAGAAACCACTAAATGCAGTGTCCCTCTTGATCCCATAGAGTCTCATACAGGCTGAGAAAGCATTTCTTCACTGTTGTGATGGCAACTCTAAAGGCCTAGCTGGAGCATTTAGCACATGTGGACACTGTCAGCGTGCTGGTGGGTGTATTCACTGAGCTAGAGCATTCTGATAATATTGTCACAAGCTCCCATGAAACATAAAAGATGGGGTAAAATCTGGCACGAACTGAAAGCAAAACCTGGGCTCTGCGTCAGAGGTAAAAAGAAAGAGGAAAAAGAAAAAGGTTTAAGTACAGCATGGTAAATGCCTTGTGTCACTCTGCCTTCCCTCCTCTCCTCCCCAAGCCCTCAGCTGTGCTTTATAGACAAACCAGTTGTTGTTGTCCTCATTGATAGTAGTTGGAACGTTGATCAGATTTGTCTGAGACTACCAGGATTGGCTTAGCTGGTTTTCTCTCCGTCTCTCTCGCCTCTTGCCCACACGATAGCGTGCGATTTCAGTGGAGCTTGCAGTGCCTTCTAAGAGGAAATGAGGAATTAGTGATGGTAGGAGGAAGCCAGGAGCTTATTTTCCTTTCCTCTTTCTCCATATCTCTCTCCCACTTTTTTTCATTCACCCTTTGCTTTGTGTGTCTGGGTTTGGATTTAGACAGAAACAGTGCCGCTTAGTTTTGAAATGTCTTGGATATGCAGAAGAGTGGGAATGCTTGAAAAGAGTTGAGAAGGGCCGAGACTCATTTTAGAGTTTTATACCGAAAAAGGAAAAAAAAAAAGATCCACATTCTAATTAAAGAGGGGAGGAGGGGAGTGGACAGGAAGAAAATTAGGAAAGATCCTTGGAGGTATATGAATTTATTCTTGTCTTTTCCACTTTTTAAATCTTTTGTCATGTGTTGTGCTTATTGCTAAAAGATCACTTTTTATCAGTTTACTGTAAACTGCACAACTGTAGCCGTTAATTTCCCCTCAGCACTTTAAAAAAAAAGTCAACCTGGATATTTATAATAGTTTAAGTAGATCCTCCATAAACAGAGGAGCAGAAAAAAACTCTGAAGCATATCAAGTCTCACAAACCTCTCACCACATACGCACATATGCCCACGTGTCTACACAAAGGCACTGCGCGCGCACGTAAATGACTATTTATGCAGGTCACATTTCTTACAGTAAATGAATAATATGAATATCCTCAATATCTATAATCTCTGATATTATTCCATAAATTTATGTCCTGAGTCAGACACTACTACCCATCATTTCACAGGTGCATACCAAAGGCTGATTTACAGGGGGGGCGGGGGGTTGAAGAGAACGGGATACAAATGATTTATGTGTTAAAACAAGTCCTCTGCATTTTCCATTACAACTAATAAAGGGATAAAATATTTCCACCCAGTGATGGATGATGTCGCACGCACCTCACTGTCAGTTCATTTTTTAAGCAAACCCACCGTTCTCTGGGTAAATAAGAATGTATGTGTTTTCCATTGACTGCTAACCACTAACAATTTTTGCTTCGCGCAAGACACCCTTGATATTATCAGTCTGATTGATGATGGCTTCTCTGAATCACAAATTCGGTAACTGTCAGCTCACGCTCTACAACAGCAAACTCGAGTTGCCCTCTTCGCAGTGTTTGATGCCGCAGTCTTTATCACGCCGACATCTCCTTTTAGGCAATTTTCTGAGCTCGATGGGTTAGAGTGGCAGTTTAGAACGATCCTAAAACAGCAGATAAGTTACGGGAGGATTCAAGTGTAGGATGTAGATTAAAAGGCAGTTAGCATGAGATACTCTGCTGTTGATGTGTCTGCATGTGTGCATGCGTTAATGCATGCGCCCTGGAGGCATGTGCGCTCAGCTGACTGAAACTGTGAGCAACTTTCTTCTTTCCTTATATTGCTCTGTATGTTTATCCAGGTCTTACCTTCCACCTGTAATATCATCCCTTCCATGGTGCTGGTTTTCCAGCTGATCACAGCACCGGGAGACAGAAGTCACGTCAGCTCTGCGTTGGCCTGGGCAGCATTTCCTGCTTGTGGGCCAAGTCTCGGTTTGGTCGAGGGCAGGTGAGTCAAAACCACTGTGATGAACAGCAAAATGATCTTCACGTGTTTCCCTCTGTCATTCTGCGAGTTTCCCCCTAACTCAGTCCAAAGACAAGTTCTTTAGCTCAAGCGTGTTAGTTTTTAGCATGTGCACCCTGCCTCTCTGCCCCCCCCAGTTACCCCAGATAGGATAACTGGTAATGAAAATGGATGGCTGTAATTCATTTTCAGAGAAAATACCTGCAGTCCAAAAAAATGCAACCTGCAACTTTTATGAGTGTTTCTCATCAACATTTCTTTGTACAGTGACAGGTTTCTGTTATGTGCACAGGTTCAAAACGCCACTGGTCAGGGGCGAGCCCAGCACACAGCTGGACCAGTTTAAAAAGATTGAAGCCCTCATCTCCTCTGATCTCGACCACTGGCTGTGCAACCTGTATTTTCAGGTGTGTGTGCAATTACGAAACCCCTTGTTCACATGTTTGTTTTGATGACGCGAACCTCTCGATTATTCTATTTAAATTCGTAATTGGGTGCAGGTACAGTATGTGCGTGTTTATTTCTTGGTCTGAGTTATAAACCATGTGCTTGTGTGTGCCATTTTTTTGTGTCTTTTTCACTCTGATCCTCTTCTTTTATTTGGAATGTTTAGGGGGCAGAACGGTGGATCTGAAAAGATGGGGGGTGGATTTTTGGATTTTCAACGATAAAAAGCTTTTACAGAGAAATTGAAAATTGGCCCCAGAGAGCAAACAAGAACCACATCTTTACCCAGCAATTCTGAAAGCATTAGAGCTGATGCATTGATTAGATTAGTAAACATCTTAATTGAATTAAAAACCAGAACAAAGCTCTCTGTCTTGGATTTGCTTCTTTATTTGTCCCTTTGACTGTGACATGTTGTTTGTATTACTGCATTATCATTACTGTTGGTACGGTTGCTTTGATTGCTGTGGGATATTTTTTTTGTATCTCTGCATATGCACAGCACAACAACAAGCACAATATTCTTGTCACATTTATAGATTTAATTGAATTGTTTTACTGCACACTTTGACAAATGCTAGTAGTTCTCTGTGCCTGCAGTTTTGAACACCTGTAATGTTATTCATACAGCAAGATGTTCTCCCACAAACAATGATGATGCAATGGAACATTATGCACATAACTACTGATTATTACAAGCTATTAATGTTCACTGAACACATATGCAGACCTCTGACACACGCAAAGCAGGCCTGTTCCTCTTCTGGTTTCTTGTGTTTTAGGTAAAGAGACTCCCACCTGGAGCATCTCGGAGACCAGAGCACTGCATCACTCTATCGATCCCCACTTCTAAACAACCTATCATTCCCCAATCTGAGGTCCACCAGAACCAGCTGCCACTCCAGCCCAAGCCCCCATCGCAGCACCAGCTCTGTCCTCAGCTCGTTCATCCCCAGTCCCAACAGCAGCCCTGTACAGACCCCAGCTGCAGAGCGGGAGATCCCTCTGTGGTACATTCTCACCGGGGGTCCCCTCTCAACCTGTCAGCTGATTCTGCTTGCTCTTCCTCATCTCTGCCAGGTAGGGCTCCGATGTTACAACCCCCAACTATGCCACAGTGTGGAGAAAATGTCACCCTAATGTCACCAACACTGGGAAAAGAAGAATGACAGGCCTCCCTTACAGCAAAGCTCCACTGAGGTGAATGTGCTTGAGGGTAGGGTTTGGTAGGGGAATGCTTGACAGACAGACATTATATTTGTTTTCTCAGTTAGATTATGTGTAAAATATATAGACTCTAATGTTAGTGTTAGCATAGGCAAAGTATCGTGCACAACATTAGCAGAACCTGATAGTTGACAGACATTTAGATAAATAAAACCACCACTTCAGCAAGCAAACAAAAACCTGGCATGTAAAGTGCTGGTTAAATAAGTCCAATCAAGCTAGCTATCGGTGAACAGTGGTTAGCCTAGCTGCCATGATTAGCACAACAAAGGTTTTGGAATTTATAACCACATTTTCTTCTTTATATTCTGTGTCCAGCTGAGCCAAACCAAACATTTTACATGCTTACATGACCTGGAAGACACACATTGCTGTGTTTTGCGGTCTGGCTTTGGTTCACTGTGGATGACTAACTTATAATTACCGAGTTCGAGCTATAAAAAGAGCTATATAGCAATTTTCTGCCAGTTGACTGAAATTCCTTCTTTAAGTTCAATACATAGTAGGTGCTTACATGCTGCAATGCATTTCTGATTACCATCTTAACTTCATCTGCCTTTTTATCCACAACTCACCATTTCAATAACATCCGGTTAGCTTTATTTTATATGATTTCTCCTTAGGAAGATAAGATATAAAACAGATGATGAAATTTTAGATTTAGTTATGAGACTTCATCTTGGTTCAGTCTTTACTGTTGCTTCAAGTCAAGGAGAGGCTTTTAGAGTTCGTGTGTTCCCTTATGTATGTGTGACCTCTTCCTGTGTCCTGTAGTTACTTCTTTAAATCTTAACACAAGCAAATCATGTTTAAGTGAGGGATGGGCGCTCCTTTGCTTCCCTTTTACAGCATGCAGAGATAATATCCTGTGTCATACAACGTAGGTATTAAGGTATCCTTTAGCTACGTAGGAGAAATGTTTTTTTATGGTTTCCTTGCTTATGTGGTGGTCCAACCCAGGTATATTAGTAGAGGGCCCGGGTTAATATAGTTTTTGCTTCATTTCATTACTGAAATGGAGTGAAGTGATATAAGTATGAATCTTACAATGTCCAAAGTTTGAGCTAAGCGATAAAAATGCTGAAATCACATATTTAATCATAACCACATTTAATTGGGGCTAATGATTTTGTTGATAATATTAGAGTCCATCTCCTTATTTTAAAAAACATACTAGTTTTAGTCATCTAGCATTCTGGCCATTGCCACAAATCAAGTGCAGACTCATTTGGTATTGATCCTCAACAAAGACGACCGGCTAGCTTCTTTGTTATTAATACACTGGCCTTTTTTTCCTTTTCTCGCTTTCTTTCTTTCTATTTTTTTGCACGCACAGCTCATCTTTATTTAACAGTCCTCAAAAGTTTCTGGGGTGCTCTGCTTTAAACATCACACAGGCTTTTTAATTACAAATGAGTTGTGACAGGTCTGCTGGGTAGCACCCTGGCCCATTTTAAACGTGATGCCGGCTGACAGCTTGGCAGTGTTCTCCCAGCACTGAAACATGTGGAAGAAATTGGTCTTTTACATTTCACAGCTTGTCGCTTCCTCCGCTGGCTGACCTGTGACCCCCCACAGAGATCCTAACGCCCACAAGGGAAGTGTCCCCAACGAACTGACTGCCTTTCCAGAGAGAAAGAAAGAGAGCGAGGGAGGGAGAGGAGCACTCACTATGGGAGATTTATGTTCTGCCACACAAGGCAAAAGGTACCAGGTCTCTTCACCGCACACGGCTTCAAACTCTGGCTTGCACGCAGGCAGAGATGTCAACACACGCGCACTCGCGCGCACGCACATTCTCACAGGTGAGGAGGTTGCTTGGGAAGTGAACCCAATCCGCAAGTGAAATAACGGATCAAAAGGTGTCCTGCACAACACCTCATCTGCGCCGTTCCCTAAGCCGACCTGACGTTTGTGCCTCATTTGCATACAGATCCGTTCATGTTGCATTACCTCTGGAGCGAATTATGGTGTTCAGATGGGGTGATACGTCAAGGTTGAATGGAGCGATTGGATGGACAACTTTAACCTAGCCAAAAATGGAAATCCAATTCAGCAAGGAAAAGAGGAACGAATTACCCCCCTACCCCACCTCCTTCTCAGTTTTTAGTCAAGTCTGAGGGTTTTCAGACATTTCTTTCCTATTTCATGCCTCCCTGTTTCTGATGTCTTCTGCGTGGAGCTCACTTTCTCTCTGCATGTAACGCCTAGATTTTCCTCATTACCCATTTGTCTCTGAGTCAGGACAAGTATATGGAGATCTCTTGTCATTGCGATAATCTGCACAGTGCAGAGCTTGACAGTGAGACTTGAAGATTGCATTCCTCGGGCCTTAAGTTAATTAATCCCCACAGAAGAAACACAGCGTTGGTGAGGTGTCTATACGGAACGAAACCTGACATCCCAAACCAAGATTATAACTCTGAAGAGTTTCAATCAAAACAATTTTATGTGGGCATTAATGTGTTTCTGTTTCATATTATTATTATTAGCTATCGGATGGTAATAATCTGATTTACGTCAGTTGACTTGTCCAAGCAGAACGGAGTGTATTTGGCTTTTTACCGCAGTGATCGGCTGGAGGCACAATGGGTTAAGTGACCTTTCGCATTAACTGAATGATCCAGTTAGTATGGGTTTACTTGAACCCAAATGACTAATTAGATTAGCATCTTGTTTCATGATAGCCTTTAGTGGATCACTGTGAGCATGCAGATGAGTCTGCTGTAACTATGACACTGCTTCCTTTTTTTTCTCTCGTTTTTTGAACTCATTTATTTATTTTATCCCACAAAGGCATCTTAACATCCATCCCCTTGAGCATAGATGGTGATTTCGAGGATTCCTCATCTCATCTCTCTTTTGGAGCATTGCCCTTTACTTTCAAGATGTTTTTTCCCCCCTCCAGGCCACTCCCAGTCATCAGCATTTCAAACCGCGATGTTACATCATAAACTCTCAATCAGCCGCATGCCACTTCCTGATGATTAATTCGACAACGTTAATGTCCAACTTCCAAATGTATGCAGAAACACACATTTAAAGCTTTACTTTAGTATAAGCAGACTGCATGGGACAAAGACAATGGAAGGTGAATTCCCAGAAAAGTGAAGGCTGTGTTTGATTCAGCAGGTGCGATGTAGACAGATTTAACCTGCAAGACCTACAGAATTTACCGGTAACTCCTGATATAATGGCACATAACTATTTAGACATTAGTATGCACTGCAGTGTTTGATAGTCATTAAAATGCAATGGATTACAAGAAAGAAAGAAAAAAAACTTGAGTGAAGCAACAATAAATCTGCACCGTATCATAGCAACCTCAACATGAGAGCCTGACAGACTCAAGGGTAATCCGTGAGTTGCTAACCTTCGATTCCTCTGTAAATTTGGACCAGTCATCAGGCAATTAAGGGCCTAGGTGAACAAGAACTGCCATCTCAGTCTGGTTCCATCTCACCAGTAACACAGTGATGGGGTCTCGACGGTGTTACAGGCCTCGGGCTTTTCTCTTTACTTGGCCTGTTTTTGTGTGTAAGCAAGAAAGAAAAGAGGCGCGTTGAGTTATGCGTTTTGTGAGGTAGACTCTTACATTTCTACCCTGGAAAATGTTTGTCCATATATGCAAGTTTCTACATATTAATATCTTTGCCTTTTTGTGTGTGGGTGCATCAATACAGAGTGTGTGTGCGTGTGTGTGTGTGTGTGCAGTGGATGAGTATGTGTTCTGGTCTTATAGCTCAGAGCACAGGGGGGAAAACAAGGAGTTTGTTGTTGGCCTTGGGTGCCCAGGGAGGCTGGAGTTGTGGCAGCTCTAGCACTCTGAGTTCATGGACGTAGCCTTTAGCTGTCAGAGCTGTCGATGCTGCCTCCGCACTGATTCTCGTTCCATAGCGTCTGAGCGTAAGCAAGTGGGGCCTAGTGTAATAAGTTCGTGTTTGTGTGTGTGTGATAGTACAGTCTCTGAAAAGATCCTAATCCACGGTGGTCCAAGTCTGTGAGTTTATGTGGTTGATGCTTCAGCTAATAGAGTATGAGGGGTGTGTGTATTTGTGTGTGAGAGCATTGCATTGTTCTGACTCAGACTGTCTGCACATGAGCACAGACGTAGTGCTCATGTGCAACATTAAAAAGACTTCTGTCCAATGTAAACTAAAGTCAGCAGTGTCGCTGTGTGCTATTTAATCCGACTATGCTTTTTAAAACAAGGTAGGGTAACATCCTATAGTTTACAAAAAGATTCTTTGATTTTTTGACACTTGAAGACCTGTACTTTTTTATACTCTTTATACTAAGACACACCAATTTGACACAACTTTAAAATCACTTGTCTAATATTGTGCAAGTTCTTTTCATGCCACCAAACCAGTTCTAACCAGTAAAAACTGGCACAGAGGATGTCTGAAAGTGTCCCATGGTGTTTAGATCCTTTAGTTCCTGTGGTTTGCAGGGGTGGAGTCTCTGTGCATACTGTGAATGCTCGATTGGATTGGTAACAAGGGAGTTTGAAAGACCAGGTATATTTCTCAGGCTCTTATTCTCCTTGTTTGAGTCATTACTGAGCACTTTTTGGCTTAGAGTCTTCTGGAGGGGGTCACTGAAACCAGAAAGGGCCTGGCCTGCAGTGACTAACAAGAAAGAGAGCAAAACATTGCATTTAACAAAGTGGTCAGTTCTAGTCACCTGCTGTTTTAATCTTGTGGCTGGCAAGTGTGTTTATCCCAAGCCCTGATGTGACCACACAACTGAGTACACGGTTATGTAACGTCTTTATAATGTAGAAATAAAAATTTTATCCTGAGAATAGAATAACTATAACACCAGGGCAAATGTTTACCAGCAAAGGGGTGGTAATTAAAAACTACATCAGTGTGAAATCTGATTTCAGACTCTGTGAAAAATAGAGGTGAGCAGAATCTTCCTGCCATTTAAATGCAGTAAAAATTTAGCTGTCAGGAGGATTTCTGATGTGTGGCTAATATTTAAGTTATTATTACTGATATATTTAATCCCACAGCAGGAGAAAAATTATATCATTGCTGAGGCTTCCATATGTATTATATAGATGTGATTGGTTCCACGGGGGGAAAAAAAAGTTTCACATAGTGAGATTTTTACATGTATCAAGCTAAGGTTTACTTAATTGCAACCTCCAGGCAAAGCAGGAACCCTTTTTTAAATTCTGTGAATGTTAATATGCTAAATAATGCAGATCTTCGACTCTTCAAGCATGAGACACACATCTGGCGGCTTACCATTTAAATTACAGCAAGAAAAAAAATGCGAGACAGAGAAAAGAGAAAAAGAAATGGAGGATGAAAAACACTTCAGAAGAAGGGAAATGATGGGAAAATGTGTGAAAATGTATCATAACCAAAATTTAATTTATTTTTTGATTTTTCATCATTTGTAATTGCATATATATCCATATCTATATATCTTACTGTATCTCCCTATATATTTTTTCTTCCCCTTTTTTTATTATATGTGTATTAATATTACTCAGGCCTGAAATTATAATGATAAAGTGTGGTATGCAAGAGAAAACAACCTTAAATATTCTTTTCCTCTTTACACTTACTGCACATTATTTCTCTTTTGGGCGTGCAGGCAAGAATTTCTCATCAGGAGCCATTTCTGGAAGCACCGGAGAGAAGAGTGATCCATGCAGGGAGAAAGCAGAGGGTGGGAATCACTACAAGGTAACACTGTGATTTAAGGGGAAGTGTTCCCACCCTTAAAATGAGCACCCTTTCTGCTTTCCCCTTCCATTCCCTCCCTTTCCTTCCCGCCCCTCTCTGCGGCCTTGCGCGCACCTCCCCGGCTTATTATCTGAGATTTGTCAAAATACATTTCACACTAACAGGTATTTTTCAGCCTTCAAAGCCAGTTTTGATCTGCTTGACAAGCCAAAGCAGCTCAAATTGTGTGAAATCAGCAACGCTAGCCAGGCCTCGCCTTTTTTTCTTCTTCTCCAAACCGTTCTAAACACGCCTCTTCCTGGGCTACAGACGACTTAAGCTAAATTAATCAAAGCCTGCGTGTTACCTGCCATACTTTGAAGTGGTAATTGCAAAATTACTCCATGTGCTGATCTGGCATTGCTGCCTCCCGGTCCGCCCCTTCCATTGTGCCTCTGCTGCGGCCTTTTGTTGTTGTGATGTTATTGTTGAGGTAGTTAGACGCCTATGAACAACATCAAGCCTCCTTCTCTCAAACACATATACCCACCACCCTTTCTTGCCCGTCTTTATTCCTACTAACCTCCTCCTGCTGATGTACAAGAGGCTCTTTGGACCACCATTAATCAGGGATGACCTGTTAAATAAATGAGTTTGTTGATATGAGGTTTTATATCTCTGCAGCCTCTGCAGACCATGTTTTTCCTTCCCCTCTTGGCCTATCTTTAAAACCTTGCTAACTCTGTCAAATGTCTTGGTTGGAACCCAGTTGTCTAATGATTAAGTGGAGTGATCTCCAACCTGCTCCAGCCTGGAAGCGCTAGGGATCAGATTTCAGCCCTTCAACCTGCAGTGCAGGCCTAATTAAAATGAATTTTCTCCAGGCGACCACTTTGCCCACAGGGCAGGAATTCAGCTATATACGGAATCCACTCTTAAGGTATTGCATTAAATTTATTGTGTGGAGACACTGGAGAACATTGTGGTATATCTCCTGCATTCCCCCCCCCCCCCCCCCCCCCCCCCCCGTCTCTCTGCCTTTTTCTCTCACTCTTTTCCACCTTTTTATTGTGATCATCACTCTGGAATCCAAGCTTGCTTTGGCAAAGATTGCCCTATGAAAACGGATGGAGCTTTTATGGGACTCTGCCCATTTACTACTTCCTGGGCCTAGTTTATCTCAGAGGGAGAGACAGAGAGGGATGGAGGAAAGGGAAGATGAAGAAAAAAATAAAAAATAAAACGGAGAGAGGTAGAGTCAGAAAGGGGTGGAAAAAAGAGGCAGCTTGCTTATTCCAAACTGTGGGTCTCATTAACATACATCAGTGTGTATTTCACAACTTCAAGCAGAAAGGCACTAAGCCCACCCAAGGGCAACACAGGCAGGGCTGACACGGCCAGGGAAAGCAAGCCGTTAACATGTTGGCGGCTTAACAAATAATATCTGCTCCCAAGTACCTTAGTGAAAAATTTAAAACCCCACTTCCTAACTCCATTTGACTGTGTTTATGACGATGACAGTAAACGACTTGTGTGGAAAAAAACAGTGCCAGCTGCTCAAATATCACATATTTAACGCCACCATCACTGTACGCATGTTTCCCAAATGAACTCAAGTTGAAGGATGGCATGCCGTATGCGATTTTGCCGTCATTCTTGTCTCGTGTCAATTGAGGCGCGGGTGAGATATAGGAGAGGCTCCAAAGTGCCACGCACACTGTCACTGTCACCGTGTGCATCCCCCAAGATAAATTCAGAGGCCTGTTTCCTGCTTTGATTACAAATGACATCCGCATGTGTTCTCCCCGATTTCTGCTCCTCACAGAAGAAGCCAATCAAGAAGACAAATAGCTGTGGCCCCAGCATGAGCGGCAGAAGTGCACCGCCTCGGCAGGCAGACAAACAGAAGATGCAGCCTTCAATGGAGAACCTCTCCGCGGAGGAGATGGAGGAGTATACATTCTCCCTACAGTAAGTCTCACCACTCATTATCCCGGCTCAGCCTTGCAAAATTCAAATGTGTGGGGGAAAGAAAAGAAAAAAAAGCAAAAGAAAGAAAAACGTGGGTGACAAGTGGTTTCTGTGCCTCACAGACGCTGAAATGTACAGCATCAACCAGACAGACTCTGACAACAAGACGTGCCTAGAACACCTCCTTAACAGATATAGATAAAGTAGTCGAGTGTCTTTCGAGGGAAATCCAAATGAGTTTGTATGTGGTATAGCTTAAATCGCATATAACTCAATTTTAATTTCCCAACATAAACAAGGCACACTCAAAGCAATTTCCAGAGCCTGGTGGCCTCATCTGTCCCGAAGGAAAGGAAAGCACTCCATAAGAATTTGGTGAGGAATCACAGAAATTCAGCTGCCCACAATACTATCATTTTTATATTTGATACTTTCAGAAGTCACAAGTCCTCTTTTGTCTGTTAATTAAATCTGTACTTGCCTACATTTGACTTAGATCTCAAGACTGCACAATCAACAGTCAGTGTTTCTTTGTGCTTTGCTTTTCAGGACAAAATAATCAGTCGTATTTCAGCTAATTTGCTTTGTGACAGTGTCGCATTTAAAGCCAAACCAAACGCTGCTCAAGCTACAACAATAATGTCCCCGTGAATTTTTGTTGTTGTTGTCTCCCAGTCCTCTGCAAAAATGCGTGGAAATTACATTTCATCTTTATTGTGGCTCACAGCATTTGATTTTAATGAGAAAACAAGAATGTATGAAATACAAACAGAGCGCCGAATTTCAAACACCTCGGCCAAATTTGCTAAAAGCATCCAGGTAGCACCCGCATGCCTATGGAGCATCAAAACAGACTGAGAGCAAAATTGCTTATTTCAACAAGAAAAGTCTCAGGTATTTGTTTTTATTTAAATGTCAACTAAATTGAGGGGAGGAGATTACCATTACTGCACTGGGGGGGAGAGTAAAGACAGCGAGAGAGTCTACTGTATGTATGTGCAAGAGAGACATAAAGCGAGCGCTCCCTGGAGATTTAAAAGTACCCATGTTTCCTCATTTCTGGGAGTTTGTAATTTATAGCTGCTGGTCACATATTAAACAAGATCAGAGACTACTCCCTGACATCTTCTGAACATACTGAGGGAATTCAAATGATTACCAGCGTATCCTGCCAACAAATGACGACATAGAGACTATCTTGAGGGAAAGTGAATACAAAAAAAAATAAAAAATGAACACAGAGCCCGGGCAGACTGTGCACAAAGGGACACAATTAAATGGTTTTCACGATTATTCATAGTGCCGCTTTTTACCTCTGAGCAGTTGCTGGGTTCGGTGAGATGAGACATTTCTGTCAGTTATAGGTACGGATTGTATTGAGTTGGAGACTCGGCTGTTCCCTGATGCCCTGTGAAGGTGCTGCTGCTATTGATTTCATCTTTACAAGCACACACATTACAGTATCTTTGAGCTAAAGGCTGATAATTTTATTTTATTTTTTTGCCCTCACCTAATCAGACTATTAGAAAGATACAGTGGCAGTGCTGGCTTTCACAGTGACGTTAAAGACGCAGCAGTCTCTCATCTGTCTCTCCCGCTGTGTTGTTTGACTTATTCTGGGTTTGTCTACATTACCTGAGGACTGACAGAGATGCCGACAAAAGGGATTATTTACAGATATTTTTTTATTTATTTTGCCTTAATGATGTCATCTCGCCCCGCGTCATCTTTTGGCATTTTGGGAGCTCGGGTTTTTATCTCTGTGTCTGTGTTTATGTGCATCTGTAGACGAATGTGAGAGACAGCGGGTGTGTACAGTATTTTTTGACTATGCAAGCGAGTAGAGTATGCACACACACACACACACACTTGCCTGTATATTCTTGTATTTTAACTGAGGAAAGGAATCATACTGAAGTGATTGAGGGATATTACTGCCATCTATTGAGCCACAAGAGACTGAGCTCATTGAGATTTTTATAAGGCATCCTGACACAAACGTGCAAATCAGATGCTCATGCATTATTAAGCAAAGACTTTGAAACAGTAAGATTCAGTTCAGACAGTCGGAGAATCACACGAGCGGTTTAACATAGTGCATTCATTTATGTGTCGCAGTCAGGAGCACTTTATTCATCAAGTAAAATAAATGCAGCGCGATGAATTGGAATGAAGTGGGCTAATGTCTTAAAGAGATCTGCAGTATGTATGGGACCCGTATACAAGTGCTTAGACTGTGTGTGCGTTACAGGTGGGACTGTAAATTAAATTAAAATTTTTTTTTTTTAATGTATCAACTACATAAAAACATAATACTGATACAAGTAGAACCAAGTCGACACGAATGAAAACTACTAGAGGTTTTATGTAAAAGTTTTTTTTATTCCAAATGGTGACAACGTCATCTACTTTGACAGAAATACTGCAAAGTACATCTTTTGGGAGGAGATGTTTCCAATGGATATGATTGTTTATATATTATAGTACACACATGTATATTTTTTATTTAAAGTCTTTGTTTCATTGGGTGAGGATCAGGCTTTCTTGTGTAATTGTTTTCACATTTCCACGCTGGTGATCTAAAAAGGCATAGAAATAAAATAAAAAAATAATGAAGTCGAAAATCAAAGAAAACACTATGCTATGCACTTTTTTTTAAAAACTGCAGGTATTGACAATTGCAAATTAGTTCTGGGCAAATGAAAAAGTCTGAAAACATGTCAGGAATGATCTTTTTGTCAAGCGTTACTGTGCCGCTGATATCTGTTTGAACACGCTTGAAAGACTCCAGCCGACCCTCCAGTTTATTTGATGTCTACAAGTGTAATTTTCAATACTCCTCTTTTTTTCTCACAGAATAGCACTGAGCAAAATCAAAGCACCTGATTCAATATGGCTGTTGTAATTCGATCGGGCCAATTTAATGCTTTTGGTCGAGGATAAACATGCTGAATTAATTTTACACTTTAAAGACTACTTTACATTTTGTGTACTCAGCACGGTGATGAGATACTAATGGTAGCTCACATTCGACCTGTGCAAACCTCATCATGTGTGATATTGACGAATTATTACTAATAATAATAATTACTATTAGTTGTTATCTGATAATATATACCCTCTTCCTATGTAGTGTACCACATACTTACATGATTATTATCAAATTGCTATAGTGTCGTATTATACCTCATCAATGTCACCCAACTGTTTTTTTTTCCTACTCTCATTTTGAGGAGAGAAACCTGTTTTAATCAAAGTCATTCTCATATAGCAATTAGATCTAATTAGTCCAATTATCAAGATTCTAATTACACTGAAATATATCCCCTAAATCTCATATCAATTATAGTATGTGTGACTCGTCCTGATCGGGAAACATGAAGAGCGACAGTGAAGACAAAGCTGTGTTGAAGGTAGCAGAGAGCGTTTTCATTCTCTGGAGGACAACTGGCTGCAGAACTGTCCCCATCTGTCCCCAAAGCTTTTATTACAAAATGCTGTTTGGTCATCTGGGGATAAATGTCGCTTAACCTTTATCTAGTTGTTTCAAAATCTGAACTATTTTGCTGCTAATTATGATGCCATGATTAGTTACATGCTTGTTTGTCGTCTCAGTTAGATAAGTTGAATGAATAATAATAAATACAGTTTCAGCTGTTATTGCTGCAGCTATTAAACACCACCGTTAAGTCTGGACTCAAGGAAGGAAGAAGCCACTGCGGTGACAGTGAACTAGATTAAAGTTAGGTTGAACTTTTGGTAGCACAGTAGCTCATATGCTAATAAGTCTCAAACAGGTACACAAATCCACACACACACACGAAATCAGGAGCAGACCTTGATTGTGTAGCACAGTATGTTGCTATAGTGGTGGAGTGTTATACTGTAGGTGCACTGGAAAACACACACGCACACACACACACACACACACACACACACGCACACGCACACACACACGCACAGCCTGCTCTTGCTGTGGAGTCAGAGGGAACACACTGACCTAATTTCCCCCAGTTAACTCGCCTCGTTGGGGACCAACGTTCCTCTCCACCCGTTTCCCCCAACCGAGCCTATAGGAGCGTCCCTGATGTGTATCTCTGTGTCTCTATCATTCTGTGCCCTCCATCTGTTTGAGTATGTTTCCTCGCTCAAATATAAGATTCCAAGTTAAGTGTTATTCTATTTTACGTGTTTATAACAAGGGTAACGTGCAACCCCGCAGTGCCGCACGCCTGGGAAAGACCAGCAACTGTCGTGGAGAGAAAGAAAGCCGAGCCTGAAGTTGTGTACAGAAAAAAGGCAGAAAAACACCTGAAATAACACCCAGTTTCAGGCTGTCAATCCTCTGCAAACTGCAGCTACGAATCACAACTCTGTGCAAGGGTCAATAAATTCTGATGTAATACTGGTAGGATAAGTGGGTGGAGACATGGTGGTGCTAGTCACCCCTCTCTAGCGCTTTCCAGGGCTCTTTCCTGTACTGAGAGGGCAGGGAAGTGTCTGCGCTTCTGCATGCCCAAGTACCTGCTTGCATGTGTGAAAGAGTGGCCCCTGGCTACCACGGCCCGAGTGCACATGTTAGGGGTTTTTTTAGTGGCCAGACGTGCCCTGGGTCACTTTCAGATCTCACAGACACATACTCGCAAAATCAACATGCCGCTTCCTTTATGGAAATCAGAGCTGTCACATCCTTGACAGACTAACACTGCAATATGATTGGTTAATTCACACTGATGGTGTGCATCAGTGGGCGCATACTGCGGTCCCATTGGTGGTCTGGGTCAAATGAATGCGCTTCACACTGACACGTGGGAAAGAGGGGAGATGTCAGATACTGAAAAGTGGCAGGAGCTATATGTAAGAATATATGAGTAATCGCATATGATTTGTGCATGAGGCCTTTGTGTGCACTTGAAAAAATAGAGCTAAGCCAGAGATGGCACTTAACTTACGCTCTTCCTTTTTTCTTTTATATCTGTAATCACTAGTTCCCCAGCGTT